TTGTACGTGTGGAACAACGGCGGAATCAGAACGACGATAATGGTGGTGGCAGCGCCCGAGATGGCGGACGGAAGATAGAAGAAGGTGGTTGTGTGTTGAGATAAAGAGAGTGACGGGAGAAATGGTATTGCAAGAGAGAGAGAGAGAGAGAGAGAGAGAGAGAGAGAGAGAGAGAGAGAGAGAGAGAGAGAGAGAGGTGATTGGGGTGGGTAACTGAGGAATTGAGTAGTAAATTGTGTTATTTAATGTATTGTGGCAGATTATTTAATGTGTAGTGGGCCCCATCTGTTTGAAGGTAGTGTATAAAATTACTTCAATACTCTTAATGAAGGTATTGTTTTGACTTTTTTTTAGTCATTAGATCGGATGATCTAATGGCTACGATTTTTTCTTATTTTTTTCATTGAGAATCATTCTCATGTGAACCCAACCCTTATGTTTTTTTATCTAAAGTATTACTAATTTTCAGTCATAACAAATACAAAATACTAAAAATTAAGTGAGAATCTTAAAATATTAAATGTATTTTGATTATTTAAAAATTGACCCATGAACTCAATTGTAATATACGAAATTTGTTGAAACTATATTTATGCCCCTAAGACTTTCCAAATTTACAAAATAAGTCCCTATTCTAAATCTCAAAATTGATTTATGCATGTGTCCTACTCATTCATCTCGGTCGTCGTCGAGGGCCTCACCTTGTGGCCACTGGAGGACCTTCATTGTTTGGAAACCACTATTCCGATGTCAGACGCCGCCATCATTGGATACCTTGATTTCACAAACCAACTACAAATCCAGTCCATGCTTCCCACCGCCGACATGTTGGTACTTGCTATGAAGTCCAGCCTGGCACTCGACTGGCTGGTGGTCGTGCTCGACCGAAGTGGCCTCGAAGAGTGGTGGTCGTGAATGTCATCGTGGTGCTCGACGGGACTGGTTCAATGGTGGATATGGCGACAGCGATGAAGGGATAGGCCAGAGAAGACGGTGACGATGGGCTAAGACTTCGTCGGGTTTGAGACCTGGTGTGTGACGTGTTCCAGGTAGGGTCTAATTGTGGACAATGGTTGTATCGATTTGTCCATCGGAGGTCAGGATGTTGAGGGACGAGATGGCAGGGACTTCGACGGCCACTGCAGCGGCGCACTGGTGGTTCAGATGTCTGTGTGAATCATTTGTGTGTGTGAAATGTGTGATGTGTTGCAGAGTGTGTGTGTTAAAAAATCTCGTCCTACTAAACGAATTTTATTTAAATACATGAAGCTTTATAAACTAATCAAATAAACTATAAGCTAGCTTATTTGTCTACCAAACATAGTCATATCCATAATAGCTTCTTAATATGTTATCCAACCACATATTGAAGGATTTGTAATATTCAAAGGCTACCCTTTAAGTAACAAATGTAATAGGTTGTATTTATTAACAAAGTATAAGGTATCAAGCTCATTAACTAAACAATATAATAGAATTATGTAGACCAAATTTCATTTTTGATCCATTATATTGCCAGTTTTCAAGAAAGATCAAATATTTTAGAGTACATCAAACTTAGTACAATAAGTTAAAAAATTCATTAAATTTAGTCCAATAATCAAGCGATCTAGATAATTTGCCTACGTGTCATGATTAGTATTTTCTTCATCATTTTCAAGCCAATTGATTTCTAGGTGGCGATGACTGGGTGAATGCCAATATAGGAAAATTTCTATTTTTGGTTCATTATGTTGGCAATTTTCCATGAAAGAGCCAACATTTGACCGACATCAAACTTAGTACAATAAGTTAAAAAATTCATCATATTTGGTCTAATAATCAGGTGATACGGATAATTTGCCTATATGTCATGTTGTCATTTTCACGTAATTTTTCGAGTGAAATTAATTTCCAGATCGATGACTAGGAGTGTGGACTGTGACCTTTCCCATTCCCATATAAACAACGTAAATTGATTACATGTGGTTTTTAAAATTTATTCCGGTGGATTATAAGGGTAAAGATCAATGACTTCCACCTTTGGTGGTGGCATATGGTTCTTATCATCATCGCCATCATCACTTTCAACACCATCTATGTCTTTCCCCTAGATTGGGTTGTCAACCGAAGAACCAGGCCCGCCTTCCAAGTCGGTCGCTGCAGCGTTGCGCTCGATAAAAACCTCGTAACACTCACGATACCAAGAGATTCTGTACCAAATGAAAAATGTCTGAGCGTCAGTCTTCTTCTTTGTAATAAATTAGAAACTTTTTAGGGGTATGATCGCATTGAAAAATGTATGAACAAACTAAAATAATAATAATAATAAAAAAAACAATTTCCCTGAAAGGTTAGCATTAAAACCATACAATTAATGAATAGTAATAATTGTAGTTTATATACATCAACTCAACTAATGAATATGTATATGACATTTGTCTTAAGTCATTACGTAAAAAATCATACAATCAATGCAATGCATAAATTATATGAAACATATGCGAAACATTATGCTCAGATGTGTACCGTGATATTGATCTGTGATAAAATGGTGGATAAACGTAAGTTATACGGTTTTCAATTTGGACATGCGATTCTGGAATATGCAAAAATATTACGCATATTTTTTAATTATATTGCATTATATATCTCGATATGCAATATGTAAACTAGGTAAAATGTTTTTGCATAATCATAAAATATACAACATTTGGTTTGGATATGAGAAAAATAAACAAGCAATTTTTTTTCGCCTAATTGTCAACTATGCATTTGATTTGTACATACGTTGTGGTATATATGCAACAAAGCATTGCATAACTGTTAATTATGCGGTTCATTTGTGATATCACACCCAAAGTAGCTCACTGGACTGGCACAATGAAACAAGTCACATAACAGGAATCGGTAAATCACTAAGGAAAGCTCGACAAAATTGGTAGATTGGAGGTCAGGAAACATAAGGAGCTCAAATATCTAGAACATATACCTTATGATAGTAGGTTGTTAAGGTTGACAATACAAGGAGGCTGGGATGACCTGAGGGTAGCACACGTGGCATATGAGGTCAGGAGAACGGAAGAATCTTTTTGGGATGGAAAGTCTATCTTATCAAAGAATAATGGTTCTAGAGGCGTGGCTAGTTAAGAAAGAAGATTCTTGCGCAACAAGCAACCCAATCTATATAAAGGTGCTAGGTTATTTACTTTACACAATAATGAACATATACACATAAGCATTCTTGATATTTTGTTCGTTTTACCACGTTCTTGTACTTATTAGAGTGTTGGGGTCTTTTCCACTGGGACTCCTGGCATATTGCAGGTTATTGGAGTAGTCAAGACGATTCCAGTTCATGGTGAGGCTGTTCAAGAGGTTTAGGATAATTCGCGTATCAAATTGACGTCGTCTATGGGAAATTCTAGTCTTTTTACCGTAAATAAGGGACTTCTCGCGAATTTTATAAAATTTTGAAGATCATGGTTGGTGATAATTTGAAGAAAAATCATGCGAATGAGATGGATGCGGTGTGGCCACATAGGGTGTTTGGCACAGGCCTTGAAAATTATTTTGGCTTGAAAAATAACATGAAAAATACCAATCATGATGCGTGAGCGAATTATCCGGATAACCTGGTTATTGGTCCAAATATCTTATTGCACTAAGTTTGATGTCTGCCAAAATGTTGAATCTTTCCTGAAAATGACCAATATAATAGACTTATTTTGAATGGACTGACATTTGTACAGTCATCGCCACCTAAAAATTAATTTGGCTAAAAAATAGTGTGAAAAAAATCAATCATGACATGTAGGCAAATTGAATCGTTTGATTATTGGACCAAATAATAAGATTTTCAACCTATTGTATTAATTTTGATTTATGCCAAAATGTTAGATCTTTCTTGAAAAAATGATGAATATAATTAGGGATGTCAATAAAACCCGTAGGGTCGGGTTACCCGCGGGTTACCCGCATTTTCGGGTCGGGTAAACCCGAGATGATCGGGTTTTGGGTCGGGTTCGGGTAGAATTATGCTACCTGAACCCCAGGTCGGGTTGGGTGCGGGTATAGTAGAAAAACCCATTACCCGACCCGATTACCCTACCCGTTTACCCGCAACATTTGAATCTTATATATACATATATATA